TGAGTCAGAAACAGACTACGCATTACGCAGGGACAGCTTTTTGTACCTCACTCATGCCTTAATAAATTGGGGGTTTTTTAGCATGCTTTTCTTTTCTTTTTTCATTTTAGAGAGAAAGAGCACGAGAAGAGAAAGGCAGAGGAGAGAGAGAGAGAACCTCGAGCAAGCTCTACTCTCAGCACGGAGCCCAACACGGGGCTCTATCCCACAACCCTGAGAGCATGACCTGAGCTGAAATCAAGAGTCAGACACGCAACCAACTGAGCACCCAGGTGTCCCAATAAATAGGTTTTTAAAAAAAGAAAGAAAAAACCCCTGGAAATGACAGAATCAGAAAAGAAGATCTTTCAGAAAGCTATCATAAATGTGTATGCTCAAGGAGAAAGGAAAACATAAATGTAATAAGGGAACCGTTGAATAGTACTTAAATAAATACGGTGTAAATAGAACTTCTTTACAAAAAAAATCTCTTAAATGAAAGATTCACTAAAAGAAGATTAAGTTAGACACTAAGGAAGAAGACCTGAAGACAAAGTAATAGAAACTATCCAAACAGAAGCATAGGAAGAAAAACGTTGAGGAAAAAAAAAACCACCACCACCGACAACAACAAACGAGCTGAGCCTCAGTGAACTGCCGGAAAATATCATGCCAGCATACATGTAATTGAAGGTCCATAAAAAGCCAAAAGGGAAGCAGAACTGTCTGAAGAACGTCTGAAAATTTTCCCAATTTCATACAAACTACAAACCAATAGTTCCAAGAAGTTCTCGATGAGGTCTAAGCCAAATATATACAAAAGATCCACACCAGGACAGATCATAATTAAGTTGTTAAAAATCAAATTGCCGAATGGATATCTTAGAAGCAGCAAAAACAAATAAAGCCACGTACATTCAGAAGATCAAAGAAAAGGCTTTCTCATCAGAATCCGTGCAAGATAGAGGATACCAGGGAAGGAAATATCTTTAGTGCTGGGAAAAGTCAACTAAAATTCTGAGTCCAACAGAAATAGCCTTAAAAAAAAGAGATAAAATAGACATTTCCAGACAAGAAAATTTTGAGAAAACACCTCAGCATCAGCAGACCCACAGTGTAGAACAACGTTGAAGGCAGTTCTTTAGCAGGAGAGAGATGACAGCAGAGGGAAATCCTCACGTCCGTAAAGAAATAAAGGCAGCGGAAACGGTACGTACATGGAGTGACAATAAAACCCTTCCTCGTGTTTTATAGTCTGTTTAACATAATCAGTGGTTTAGACCTAAAATAATAACAATATGTTGTGAGGCAAATTATCACGTGTAGAAGCAGAACTTTTGACGACGGCACAGAAGGCACGAGGAAAAACAACTCGTGTGGGTTCTTACATTACACACAAAACAGGGTAATATCATTAGAAGCTCACTGTGGTAAGTCAATGAACAGGGAAGACACACTAGAACAGTCCTTAAAACAGAATACCAAAACATGTACTCAAAAAAATACATACGGAGCGCCTGGGTGGCTCAGTCGGTTGAGCGTCCAACTTCGGCTCAGGTCATGAGCTCACAGTTCATGAGTTCAGGCCCCGCGTGCGGCTCTGTGCTGATGGCTCAGAGCCTGGAGCCTGCTTTGGATTCTGCATCTCCCTCTCCCTCTATTCCTCCTCCACTCGCACTCTGTCTCTCTCTCTCAAAAATGGATAAAGATTTTAAAATAAAATTTTCTAATACATGATTAATCTAAAAGAAGACACTAAACTAAGAGATGCACAAGCGGACAACTACCAGCAGAAGGTAAGTTCAAATCCAATCATATTGGTAATGATGTTAAATCTGAGTACTCTAAACATTGCAGTGAAAAGTGAGACACTGTCAGACTAGATTAAAAAAAAAAAAGCGAGACTCAACTTCGCTGCCTTCAGGAAACCCACTCGAGGGGCGCCTGGGTGGCTCAGTCGGTGGAGTGTCCAACTCTTCATTTCTGCTCAGGTCACGATCTCATAGTTCATGCAATCAAGCCCTGTGTTGTACTCTGTGCTGATGGTGCAAAACCTGCTTGGGATTCTCTCTCTCTCTCTCTCTCTCTCTCTCTCTCTCCCTCCCTCCCTCCCCTGTTCGTGCTCTCTCTCAAAATAAATAAATAAACTTAAAAAAATAAACCCACTCTAAATACAAAAGCATAGGGGCGCCCGGGTGGCTCAGCCGGTTAAGCATCCGACTTCGGCTCAGGTCATGATCTCACGGTTTGTGAGTTCGAGCCCCGCATCAGGCTCTGTGCTGACAGCTCAGAGCCTGGAGTCTGCTTCAGATTCTGTGTCTCCCTCTCTCTGCTCCTCCTCCACTCACACTCTATTTCAAAAATAAATAAAAAGTTAAAAAAAGTTAAATAAAATAAAAAATAAATACAAAAGCATAAATGTGTTGAAAGTAAAAGAATGAAAAAGGAAAAAGACACACCATGCGAAAACTCATCATAAGACAAATGGAATAACTATCATAATATCAGACCACGTAGACTTCAAAACAAAGAATATTACAAGGGAAAAAGGAGGAAATTTCATAACAATGAAGAGTCAGTTATTTTTAGAAAAAACTAAATGCATATGTACCAACAAATAACAGACTTTCAAAACATGTGAAGCAAAGCTGACAGAAGAAACAGACAAATCCACAGCTTGAGTTAGAGACTGTAAGATGTTTGTCTCCGTAATTCATCAAGTGAGTAAACAGAGTGTCAGGAAGGACACAGAAGACCAACAGGACTGCCAACCAAGTTATCCGACTAACAGCTACAGAACATGCCGCCACCAGCAGAAAACACAATATTCTTCTCAAGGGCATATGGAATGTACAGCAAGGCCGGACCATAAACCATAACACAAGTCTTCATCGACTTCAGAGAATTTCAATTATACAGTGTTCTCTGATGACAGCAGAAATATTAGAAACTGAAATCACAAAGTTACCTGGAAAATCCCAAATTACTTGGAAGCTGAAAACATACTTCTACATAAAATATAAGTCAAAGAAAAATCAGAGGAAATTTTAAAATATTTTGAAGGAAATAAAAATAAAACATACCTAAATTTATGGGACATGCTAACAGTAATTAGACTTAACGATAGTTTAAAAAAAAACTAACTATAGCTTTAAGTGCTTATATTAGAAAAGGAAAATATGAAAATCACTGACCTTAGTTACTTCCAGCTTAAAAAGCCAGAAAAAGAAAAGTAAATCCAAATAGCAGGAAAGAAAAAATAAAAATACAAGCGGAAATCAATGACAAAGAAAACAAACAACAGAGAAAATATAAAAACCGATGAAACCATGAAGCACCTGGATGGCGCAAACATCCAATTCTTGATTTTGGCTCAGGTCATGATCTCACACTTTGTGAGATCAAGTCCCGCATCAGGCTCTGCACTGACGTCACAGAGCCTGCTTGGGATTCTCTCTCCTCCTCTCTCTCCACCCCTCCCTCACTTGCACCCTCTCCCAAAATAAATAAATAAAACATTAAAAAAAAAAAAAAAGTCAATGAAACCAAAAAGCTAATTCTCTGAAAAGATCAAGACAAAATGAGAGAAGACATGAATTATCAATATTAGGTCTGAAAGAGGAATCATCAGTACAAAATCCTACAACAGAAAGACAATCATATAATATTATGACCAACCTGGTATCAATAAATCTGACAACTTATATGAAACAACCAATTCCTTGAAAGACACAGATTACCAAAACCGACTCAAGAAGAAATAGAAAGGTTGAAGAGTTCCATAACTTGAAAGTGAAAACAGCATTAAACTGTAAACTTAAAGTACCTTATTGTATGTAAACCATTCCTTAATAAAGTTAAGTTAAAAGAGAAAAAAATAAAAGGGTGCCTGGGTGGCTCAGGCAGTTAAGTGTCCGACTTTGGGTCAAAGTCATGATCTCGCAGTTCGTGGGTTCAAGCTCCGCACTGGGCTCTGTGCTGACAGCTCAGCGCCTGGAGCCTGTTTCGGATTCTGTGTCTTCCTCTCTCTCTGCCCCTCCCCCATTTGCGCGCACGCGCTCTCTCTCTCTCTCTCTCTCTCAAAAATAAACAAACAATAATATAAACAAATAAATAAAAGGGAAAAAAATAAGGTTAAACTATAGCATCCAGGAACACACACACAGGGGACAGAACTACAAAGAATGGAAACAAACACCACGTAAGTCTGGGTCGTAGGTCCCCGGGGCAGAGGGAGGAGGTTACGGCTTCCACAGAGCCATGAAAGCACTTTTGGCTGAGGTCAATCACTGACCAGGATGTGCCTCAGAGGAATTCGTTAAACTACCTGCTTCTTCTGCATTTATTTACTGCAAGATAGTATTCAGGGTGTTTCTTAAAAGTTTAAACAGAACCAAAACTTCTCCCGTTTTTTGTCAAGAATGGACTGTCCTGAGATCTCCCCGTAACCGTCAGAACCATCTCCCCAGAAGCTACTCAGCTCTCTACCGTTTTCTCTGAGTCTAAATGTCACTTCTGTGAAGCAATACAAGAGCGAGGGGGGTGGGGGGAGCAGGTGGGAGAAAGCTTTAAATGAAATATGCTGAAATTCAAGGTAAATGACACATCTGTTTAATAAATACAGTCATGCAACTTAATGATGAATATATCCAAAATATATATTTATACATAAAACAACGAACAGCTATATATTTAGCTGCTGAAGTGTGGCTCAGCCTGAAATGTCAGTAAATGTTATAATGTCACTCAAAAGGCAGGACACACAGGGGCTCAGAGCGTGGGTTTTGGAGTCACACCGCCCTGTGCGAACCCGGCTCCCCGCACACCAGCTGTAAAACCTTGGCCGGTCACTCTCCCCAGGAGCCCCGTCAGGCTGCCGAGCGCAGGTGGAACCGCACCCACAGCGGGCACGCAGGGAGCGCCTCCTCGCTGTTAGCGGCCACTGGTGCTCCTAGATGCTAAGTAAATACTAGCGCTAAGTAACCTCTGGGGAGAAAGAGACAAGGAAAAGAGCCTCTCACCCTCCTTTATGCTTCTTTTTCTTTGGAGTGTCTTCTTCTGAGGTCCTCCTGCCACGACCTCGGGAGCCTCTTTTTTCTTTCTGACCTCGACCTTCTGAAAGACCATAAACACCCCAATTATCTGCACAGAATTCACTGAAACAGGACAAGATTTACTCAAACGTGATATTTACCATAATGTTCCTAATACGTTTATCAGACAAAACTCTTCAAAACTCCGTACGTAACGGTAACAAAATGAAGAAAAATTAACAGACTTGCTTTTTAACCCTCGTCCTCCGGAGCTTTCAAAGTCACTGCCCTCCATCTTGTCCTTCAGGTCTGCTTCGAAGCGTGCCAGGTCTGCATCGAGCCTTCGAATGTGTTTATCCACCTACAGAAAAGGATGCTCGCAAGTCATTTAAAAACGGAAGCAGGACATCTCAGGAATCACAAACACACTGGAAATCAACCAGGACGTACATTCTTGGATTCAGTTGAGTCTTCAATTAACAGAGCGCTACAGAACAAGGCCCGCCATCCCAGTTTATGTGGGGGTCTTTGTCCCCACATGCTTTGACACCTCAACAGAGTAACTGCCACTCAGGAAAACCGTGAAGGCAGACAGTAATGAGACACGGAGCTGTGAAACGCAATGGAATGGGGGCGAAGACATAAAAATCTGAAGAACGTACAGATTTCAGAGTACAGGTTCTCACAGAAGATGCCTCCGATGCCTTAGGTATTTAGACCAAGACGGTAGAAAGAAGAGAGAGAGGGCAATGGGGTCAAAGCTCGGGGATGAGACGGTTACCCGGCCCCACAGAAGAGACCTACAGACGCTGCCAAGACTTGACAAGGAGCCAGCGGGCTCGCAACACTCAGCCAATGCCACGTGCCACAGTCCACAAGGAGGACTTGTCGGGGCGCCGAGAGGGTGTCTTCCGGCAGACAGGGCAGCACCCCCCCCCCGCCACCCCCTCTTCCCGCAGAACAGGGCGGGGCCCACCCCTCCTCACCATCTCATAGGTCTGCATGGCCAGCTGCACCTTATCATCACTGTACTCCTTACACTTGCTGTAGGCGCTCTGGATCTTCTGCAGGTGCTCCACACGCTGGTCTGGAGAAAGCGTCTTCACCGTGGAGATATACTCCGCAGCCAGGATGTCGATCTCTGCCTTCTTATCTGACGGGGAAATGGGGGAGAAGCTAGTCCCCGCAGGGGGTTCCAGAACAAGCCCAGCAGTGCCGATTCCAGTGACGGTGGCTGACCGAACTCCGAATTACTGCTGGTAGGAGCACAGTGGGCACGGCCTTCTGCAGGGAGCCTGGCGCGGGGTGGGGGGCACAGACGCCACAGCCAGGGCAGCGTACCCAGGAAGTTACAGCGCACAACCGGGCACAACCGTGGTCCAGGTGAGAACACATACCGGCCCCACCAACTCTCAACGCCCCCGAGTAACAAATTATGTGCTCATTCAGCCACAACCTGCCTACTGCCCTCAAGTCCACACCCGAAAGATTTAGGATCCATATGGGAAAACACCCATAAATGCAGAAAACAGGAAACAAGGCAAATGTGCGATCTATAGTAAGACGGATCAATAAACTGTGGCCCAATCACATGGAATGCTACCCAGCACCGAATAGCACAGCTGTCACCCATAGCAATGTGTATTAATCCCACAAAAGGTGGCACTGAGCAAGAAAAGTCAGACACAGGGGCACCTGGGTGGCTCAGTCGGTTAAGTGTCCAACTTTGGCTCAAGTCATGATCTCACAGCTCGTGGTTCCAGCCCTGCATCCGGCTTCTGTGCTGACAGCTCAGAGCCTGGAGCCTGCTCCAGATTCTGTGTCTCCCTCTCTCTGTTCATGCTCTATCTCTCTCAAAAATAAATAAACATTTTTAAAAAATTAAAAAAAAAAAAAAGAAAAGCCAGACACAGAGAACAACATACCGTGAGATTCCACTGATAATTAGGGGTGGACTGATACAACTCTGAAATCTCCGGTTTAGCGAGGTGAGAAACCTACTGTTGCAGGAGGAAAGCTCGGGGTGCCAGCCCCTTGGGGGGAGGGGTAGCATGCTCAGCAGGGTTACACGTGCCCCAGGCTCCAGAGGCTCCATTGCTCCATCTAGGCAGAGGTTCGTAAGTTGGTATTTGTTAGACAATTTGTAAACATATGCTTATTCCTGGATGTAAATGCCATATTTCACAATAAAAAAAGTCTCCGTATTTGCTAGTAGGGAGACTGTACCTCAGTAAAAAAACCACAGCTATCCTGATCTTACAAAACTGTGCCAGGCACAATGAATGAAAAATCACCCATACCCAAGTACGTTGCCACAAAACACAAAACCTCAAGGACAAAGAAGCAGCAGAAGCTGCTAAACAGGAAAAAGACCACATATATAAAGGATGAGGAATCCAAACAGCATCACATTTCTCAAGGGCAATGTGGAAGCTGGGAGACAAGGCAGCAGTGCCTTCCACATTCTGAGGGAAAAGATGGTCAATATGGAATTCTATACCCAGCCAAACTGTTCATCAAATAGGAGACCAGAACAAACACATTTTCAGACATATAACATCATAAGAAATCTACCTTCCCGTGTACCCTTTTCCAGTAAACTACTGGAGGAAAGGCTGCAATAAAACAAGGGAGCAGATCAAGAAAGAGGATGTTTACAACAAAGCATTCAGGGTCCTGCATTGAAGATGAGCAGAGGCAGAGCCTGTGCAGCAGGCCTAGAAACAACCAGCCCAGGTATAGCCTGCAGGACAGGAAGCCCCAGGGGAAAAGGCTGCGTTTGGAGAGCAAACTCAGAAATGGCAGATAACCTAGTGTAACACACACACGGAAAATGTGGAACATGTATGAAATGTGGAAAACAAAGCAATTATGAACTCCCAGAAAAACAGAAGTTATTCAAAACAGGTCACACAAGCACAGCATGTAACATGACCCAGCTGCAAACCACCCAGTCAAGAGTCCTGAAGGAAACATCATCCCTGTTGTACTGCAGGTTCAGATTCTAACCCACTACACCAGGAGGTGGCTGGGTGGGCGGGGGCGGTGCAGGAGCTGGGCAGGTGCAACTGGGGAAGCAAACCTTCATATTCCACGGTAACAGAATAAACCCCAAAGCAAAAGGGAGGTAAGTAAGAAATAGCAAAAACATGATGTTTAGAAACAGGGAGTTAAACACCAGAACATCAGAAAGTGCTCTTTTTAAACTATATACACAGAGTTTAAAAACAAAAAATAATTTTTTTAATGTTTTATTTTATTTTGGGGAGAGGCGGGAAGGGCAGGGAGAGGGAGACAGAGGATCTGCGCTGACAGCAGAGGCCGATGCAGGGCTCAAACACTCGAACCATGAGATGATGACCTGAGCCAAAGTCGGACATTCAACTGACCGAGCCACCCAAGTGCCCCGAAAAACATAAAGTCTTTTAAAGGAAAAGAAAGATGACAAACATTCTGATTGCAAGAGACAGATGATGGTCATAAAAATGATACATGAAGGGACACCTGGGTGGCTCAGTCAATTAAGCAACTGAATCTTGATTTCGGCTCAGGTCATAATCTCAATTTGTGAGTTCAACCCTTGCATCAGGCTCCATGCTGACAGTGCAGAGCCTGCTTGGGATTCTCTCTCTCCCTGTCTCTCTCTCTCTCTCTCTCTCTCTCTGC